GCGGCTCCCCTCCCCCGGCCCGGCGAGCACCCCGGGAGAGGCAGGCGCTTGCCCGGCTCCCGCCCGCCCCGGGGAAGCCTGGGCAGATGGGGGCCGGCGGGGCCCGGCGGCCTGCGTCGCGCGGGAGAGGAGCTGAGGGTTAGGGGCTGCCCGCGGAGCCGTTACTGTGGGGTAACGTCCCGATCCTCACCACTTCCCCCGGCTCCTCGTCCCGCCCTGCCCGGCGCTGCCGGAGGGGGTTGCGCTGGGAGAGCCGGGATGGCGACCTCGCGCCGGTGCGGGGGGCACGGGGGCTGCACGCGCCGGGCGGTGGAGGTTGCGGGAGAGCGGCTCCTTCCCGGGCCGGGGGCACGGAGCACCCGTGACGCAATCCTCTCCCCAAGTCCGCCCGGCTTGGTGCCCTCCACCCCAGAAGCAGCCGCATGCCCCTAGCGCAGCCTGGGGGATGCAGAGCCGGCTGGCAGCCGCAGACAGAATCAGTCCTTCTTCGCTCTCCCCTACGCAGGCTAGGAAGCATCTCTCTGGCCCCCGTGCCCTGCCCTTTGTGGTGCCCGTGGCACCGGCTTGGGGTCAACTCATTCGGCTTTTATCTGCCTTCGGTGTTGCCTGATAGGGCTGGGAGGAAGGAAACCCTGAAACAATTGGCCACAAAAAGCTTTCTGCGCGGCGGGTTGATCATCTTTGCTGGGGCCGGAGCCCGCCGTGGGGTTGGTGGTGCCCTCACTTCCCGGGCAGCTTTTTTCCCCACCTGTGCCACAGCCCCGCCGAAATGCGGCCACCTCTGGGCTGGTACGGAGCAACTGGAAGCAGAGGGAGTGGGACGAGCCTGGGGCCTGGTGTGTCCTTAGGGCCCCTCCGCTCTCCCCCAGTGCCCCCCAGCAGCAGGAGTCCATCCGGCCCTTGCCCCATCTAAGTCTCTACCCGGGGCAGAGGTCTCGGCCCTCCCCACTGCGCCTCCGGGGCTGTCTGAGCTCCCCAAATGGCGGAGCTGTCAGTCTCCGTGCTTAATCGTCTGCCGTGGGCCCTGGGGATGGGGGTCCTGGAGGCACTAACGAGCCTGTCTCCATGTTAGCCACAGCCCAACTTGCCCCCTCTCTGCCCCGCCAGCCGCCGAGGCCAGGCAGGTCCCGCCCAGGGGCTTGGGACAGGCAGCCGAACCCCCGGGGTTTCCTCCTTGCACATGCGCTGGACCCTGCGGTCACTGCTGCCCGCTGAGGCACCATGGCTTCGCTTTCGCACCCCCACCCACACCGCCTGGAGAGACCCCGCTTGCCGACAGCTGCCCCTCGTGCCCGGGGTGTGAGTCCCGTCACATGGGGGGCACCCGGGCTGGCGCCGCGGTGGGAGAGGGGAGCACGGGGCCCGCGGCCGTGGGGACAAAGGGGGCTTTATTGCAGTGGGGCAGCGGGCGGCTTCCTCCTCAGAGCCCTGCTGCCGGGGCCAGGGGCAAGGTACGTGACTCCCGCTGGGTTCGGCTGATCTCCTCCTCTCGCCCTTTGGTACTGCGCAGTCAGCACTCTCCTGTCCCCATCAGGGCAATAAAGGCTGGGATTGACCCTGGCAATGGGAAGTGCAAGCAAATGTCGGGAAGGAGCTGGCCCTCTGAGTCACCCTCAGCAGGCAGTCAGGCTCCCAGCCCGCAGGACCAAGGTGTTGCTGAGCCGGGTGCTCTTGGGGCACCTGGGGCTCAGGTGGGACCCCTTTGCGGTGCGAGAGCTGCAGCAGAGCAGGGAGGGGGTGCAGGAGCCTCGTACCCGCTGGTCCTGCCCGGCTCACTCATGCGTCGTCTTCGTGAGCGACGGTGCCCAGCGCCCGGGGCTCTCACCGCACTCTCTTCACCAAGGCACGCCGTGCTGCAAAGGTGGTTGGGGAATAGAGGGGCCCTGTTGTTGCAGATGCAAATCAGTGCCCTCCCTGCAGCCGGCCAGGGCGCTGCAATGGCCCCGGGCTCATTAGGATCTCCTCCCAGCAGTGGGTGGCCTGGGGCTCGTGCCATCCTGGGCTCTGCATTGTCTCTGCTCAGAGCCCCTTGGCCCTGCCTGCTCTGGGTGCAGGGCCCGCTGGTCCTCCTTCCCTGGCACGGATGGAGAGGAGGGCGCTGGGCTGCCTGTAGCCCTGCCAGGCCCTACCATTTTGGGGTCCGCCGCCAAGGGCTTGCCCCCGGGAGCCCAGATCGCTGCAGTCCCAGCCCACACCTCAGCACTGACTCGGGCCTCTCTTCCCGCACAGTCGCTGCTGTTCCTGGGCCTGGTGGCAGCCATCTGCCTCGGCCTTAACCTCCTCTTCCTCACCATCTACCTGATCTGCCTGTGCTGCTGCAAGAGGGGCGAGGGCACTGAGACCAAGCAACCCAGCTCCTGCTGCGTCACCTGGACTGCTGTCATCGCCGGCCTCATCTGCTGGTGAGTGCCCAGCCTGGACCGGGGCGTGGGAGCTGGGTGGATGTGGGGGTCGACCTGCTTCAAGGGGGCAGCGTGTGACTCGGGATGGCACTGCTTTGTACGCATGCACCTGCACTTGTGCACCCAGAGGTTTCACAACTGTCACTCACCTCGTGACAGTCGTGGGCTTGCAGGCTGCTTTGCTACAGAGGAATTGCTTTGCTCTTCCGTGGGGGCACGGCACCCTGCCTCGGATCTCTCTGATGCGTCTTGACCACCCGTGCGGCGGCAGGACCCGGTCCCCTGCTTCGCCTGCGTTAGGTTTGGGTGTTCTGCCACGCGGTCGTGCCGGGCTTGACTGTGTAGACGTCCTGCGAGCTTAGACCAGTGATTCTCAACCAGGAGCTTTAGATCCTTGCAAGGGTACCACAAGACAGTGCCAGCATGGTTCACGAGACAAACCCGGAGGTTTCAAACAGGAGCCCATAGTGGTAGGAACGCACCGCCCGGTTGTGGTCTTTGCATGGAAGAATCACTGTAGTCATCTCCCATAGTCAAAAAACGAAGGAAAGTTAAGAGCTCGCATTTTCCAAGGGGCGTCTCGAGTCTAAAGTGGTTGAGAACCACTGGCTTGGACAAAAGGAATCAAAACTCATGGAAGAGGTGATATCTTTTATTAGACTAGCTAGATATTTGCAAACACATTCTTTTAGTTATGTACAAGCTTTCGGGCACGCTCGCCCTTCATCAGGCATGGGAGAGAGCAGAGATTGCAAAAGTTCTCCTAGGTAGAAATGAAATGGGTTTGTCTGGGATGGTTTGGACAGGACTGACCCTGCCTCGGGCAGAGGGTTGGACTAGATGTGACCCCCACTTCCAGCCCCGCTGCCCTAGGAGCCTGTGTAAATAAGAAGCAAGCGCAAGCTGTATGGTCCAAGGGGCCTGGGATCTGCCCAGGGAGCCATCCTGGTTGCTTTATCAGCTCCTGGCTCGGCAAACAGGTGATGGTGGGGGCCAAAGGGCTCCTGTGCCCTGAAGCAATTGCAGCCCCTTGGACCCACTGCTGCAAGCCAGGAGCAAAGCCTGGGACTGGCACTTTTGTCCTGCACTGTTGCAATAGGCCCATGGCTGGTGCACGCGGTGCTGGCGTGGCTCGGACACCTGGGTTCATTCCTGCCTACCCAAGCCCTGCCCTGCAGCCTAGATCACTCCCTCACCCTCTCCGTGTCCACCTGGGATGTGGGGCCATGAGCTGCTGGCAGAGGCAGGCTGAAGTGTCTTTTCCAGGATAGAGGAGCAGAGCCAGGCCAGGATTTGGTACAGGCGGCCAGCCTAAGCCAGGCCTTGCTGGGCCCTGTAAGCAGGATTTGCAACCAGGCCGCACACGTGAACTGCAGCAATGAGATCCGGTGCTCTGGCAGCTTAGGCAGCAATCGCCTTTGGAGGGAGCAATCTTGGGAGCCTCCGGGCCCTTCCCCCTTCCCTCCTGCACCCTCAGCCCCCCTGCTCCACCAGTTTGCCCCCTGGGCACAGCTAATTTGGGCATTGGGGAGCTGGGATTGCTAACCCCAGGCCCTGGAGCAGATGGTGGCTGCAGCACTGCACAGCTGGCTGCTCAGGAGCCCTGGATGAGGATCCGCATGCCACGGAGAGGGGCCGGGCTATGCTCCAGGGCCTTGCTCCGTCCGGGGCATCCCACTGTGCTGGCACTGCCAGCTGGGTGGACGGGGCACTCTGGGCAGTCGGGCCATGGTCCTGCTGGGGGATGTGCCCCTGTGTTTGCCTCAGCGGGGCCCGTGCATGGGAGGTGGGGAAGGGGGCTCCCAGCCAGGACCCCTGGTGCAGCCCTGAGCTCCCTGCACCTGTCTGCTGTAGGGTTTCGGGGGGGCTGGGCAGGGCCCCCTCCTTGCAGGGGAGGTGCCGGAGCCAGTGCCATCTGCATGTCTCCCCCAAGCAGCTGGTGCTAGCCCAAGCCCTCGTAGCCAGATGCAGGGCAGCCGTCCATCCCCACACAGCTGCTCGAGGGGGCGGGGGGGACCCCAGGGGCTGCTAATGGCCTCGGCGTGATGCGGGCAGGCTAGAGCACGTCTCCTGCAGCCGAGACAGACCGCTCAGTGTCCGGTCATAAATATGCCATAATGAGGAGGCGAAGGCCTCCGATTAGCCCAGCGTGCTCTTCCCATGACTGCCCCCCCTCCCCGCATGGCCGCACGTGACTTCCCGGGCTCTGCTGCTCATCAGCAACCGCAGCTGCAATCCTGCCCCGGTGCAGGGTCCTGGAGGGAGTCCCTGCCCCTGGCGCGGGCCTAGGACCCTCCCAGGTCACGGGCAGCGCCGTGGCCTGCAGCCAGGCACCAGAGGCCACATGCAGTCACTGCACATATGGGTGGATTCTAGGCTGGGGGTGCGAACCTGGGGGGTGCCCATGCAGCTGTGCCGGGCCTGGGGTCCTGCACCAGACAGCACCGGCTGCAGAACCAAAGCTACCATTGCTGGCACCAGGATCTGAACCCACCGCCCTAGTGGGCATGATCTCCTGGCTGTGGGGACGTCTGGCTGGGCCCTGTGACTGCAGGGGGGACCGGGGGCCCCAGCAGGGGAGCACCCTGCCCCCCCACAGCATCCTGCTGCAGGGTCTCCAGGCACTGACACCACCCAGGGGAGAGGCGGAGCTTGGGGGGCAAAGGGCCTGGCAGGAGGTTGCCCAGTGCATCGGTGGCAGAGCCGGGCTGGAACCCAGGCGTCCGGGAGGGGGGCGCTTTTGGGACGGCCCCATCCCACAGACCAGGCAGCACGGAGGTCTGGAGCCCCCCGGCTGGGGTGACACGGGGGCTGGAGGGGAAACTGGGCAGAGCCCAGCTCGTTCCCCCCCACCAGGGGATTAAGCACAGAGCAGGTTTAATCGGGAGCTGCGCTGCTGCGATCCTCGTAATCTGCTTTGCCGGCCTAGCAGCCTCAGCCCCCAGCGCTCACGGGCATCGCGCACTGCGGGCATCTGGCTCCCGGCTGCCCTCGGCCCCAGCTGTTGCAGGGGTGCTGCAAGAGCTCCCCCAAACCCTGGCACAGCTGGAAGCCGCGTGCTCCCAGCAGAGACCAAGCCAGGGCTCCTGGGCACCGTGCCCAGCTCTGCTCCTGGCTGCTGCATCTGCCCAGTCTAGTCCTGAGCTGGGCAGCGGGGACCCCAGGACCTGGAGAGGGGATGGCTCTGGGGCTGGTGCCCATGGGGAAACCAGTGTGCCAGGGCAGGACTGGGCAAGGGGCTGGCGGCTGGCAGGGAGGGGTCTCCCAGGGGTGAGCCTGGCCAAACCATGGCATTTCTCTTGCCCCCAGCGCTGCCATCGGCATTGGCTTCTACGGGAACAGCGAGACCAATGATGGCGTCTCCCAGCTGCTCTATGCCCTGGATAACGCCAACCACACGCTGTCTGGCATCGACTCGCTGGTGAGAGCTCCCCACCATCACAGGGGCCCATTGCCTTGGAAGATCGGGGGCTGCCAGGACAGGGCAGAGGCATGCCTTGATCTCAAGCCTCGTGCCTGGCGGCGCCGCTGGCCAGCCGGCCTCTCTGGGGCTGGCGGCCGCAGAGCACAGAATGGGCCTTTGTGCCGCCTGCCGGGGAAGAGTCGCGGCCCCCGCCCCCAGGCCGTGGGCTCTTTCCGGGCAGCCTCCGCTGGAAGCGGTATCTCTGCGGAGGGATGGGTCTGGTGCATCGCAGCCCCCGCGCTGGACGGTGCCCGGCTCTGCAAGGAGCCTGGTGATGTGCCCAGACAGGCATTTCCTCCGCTGCCCACACGGCCGGGCCGGACAACAGCTTGCTGTGATGCCCACGCCTGTGGGGGCCGGTCCGGGCGCTGGGTGCTTTGTCACCCTCTTGGCACGGAGCAGCAGTGGCCCGTGCAATGCAGACACCTGTCCCAGGTGGAACGGCACTGCCCTGATGCTGCCTGCTGCGCAAGTCACAGGCTGTGGGTGGCTGCAGCCCCCTCCCTTCTCCGGAGCCCGTTGGAGGCGTGTTGCCAGAGCATGACGGCATTGCCTCTCTCCCTCCATCTGTTGTGGACATGCTGCTGCCTCTGGGTGCTCCTTGACCCCGGGGCCTGCTGGCTTTCTCCTCTGGGGTGCACCCAGCCTCTGCCATGAGCAGCTTGGTAGCCGTGTGGCTGCCAGAGGCATCGTTCCCCTGGGTGCTGTGGAGCCCAGCCCGGGATGGATGCCTGGAGCTCGTAGCATGAGATGGCGTAGGGCTGCAAAGCTGCCGGGCGTTGCAAGGCTAGTGGCTCATGCCCAGTCTCGGTAGATCTCGGGGACCACGCTGCAGATGAAGGTGGGGCTGGAGCAGCACCTGGCTCTTCTGCGGGAGATCTTCACCCCCCGGGGCGACTACCTGCAGACGCTGAAGTTCATGCAGCAGATGGCTGGCAACATCGTGCTGCAGCTCTCAGGGCTGCCTGTCTGGCAGGGCGCGAGCCATGACCTCTCTGCAACCGCCGGCCAGATCAGCTTCGTGGAGTACTACCGGTGAGCAGGGCTGGGGCAGCCGCAAGCTGGCTGTGACTGTGGCTGAGCGCGGGGGCTCATGGCTGCATCCTCCCTGTCCCCGTGCAGGTGGCTGTCCTACCTTTTGCTCTTCATCCTGGACCTGATCATCTGCCTCCTGGCCTGCCTGGGGCTCGCCAAGCGCTCCCGCTGCCTGCTGACCGCGTGAGTACCGCCTGCCTAGACGAGGGGTGGGCTCTGCCCGGGCGGCTTGCACCTTCCCGCCAGCAGGGCAGCACTGGCACCCCTCCCTGCCCAGGGCAGCTATTGCCTCTCTGGGCTAGGGAGCTTTGCTGGGGCACACAGACCGCTGATTTGCACCAATGCCCATGGTGATGCTTCGGGAGATGTGCCATCCCCCATGGGGCTGACCAGGGGTTCTGGGGGAGGGAAGGCAGATGAAGCCTGGTGCCGTGGTCGCCTGCTGTGCTTGACCTGCTTGGCACGGGGAACCACGTGCCCCAGGGGTGGGCTTGGACCTTGGAGCTGGTGATGGGCAGAGGGTTGGGACCCCCAGGGGTAGCCCTGTCTGGTGCCCTGGGCAGCAGCAGGTCTCAGCCCCAAGGATTTCTCCCTAGGATGCTGTGCTGTGGGCTCATGACGCTCATTCTCAGCTGGGCCTCCATGGCCGTGGACACCTCTGCAGCCGTGGTAAGTGAGTGGGGATGCAGCCGCTGTCGGTCTGTCCGTCCATCTCTGGAGAGCAGGGGCTCCCTGCTTGCTGCCAGCTCTGGAGAGGGGCAGCGGCAGAGAATGGGGGGTCTGTCCCTTGGCTTCACCGTCCTGCCCTGGCCCTTGGGTCCCTGGGGAGCAGGGCAGGTCTCAGAGCCTGCATGCATGCCCACTGCAGCCACCCGGCCTCCCTCTGCCCCTCATCTGCCCTTCCCCAGCTGTGCCCGGGCTCCCTGCCGGCACCTGGCTCCACTCTGAGCCTGCACTGTCCGGCCTTTGCAGGGCACCAGTGACTTCTGCGTGGCCCCAGACCAGTTCATCATGAACCAGACACAGAGCGAGCTGAGTGCAGGTAGGGCACCACCTGCGTCATGTTGGGAGTGTGTCCATATGGCACCATTGCAGCGGCATGGCCGTGGGTCTCATGGCCAGATAGGGTGGAGCTCTGCCCTCCATGGGGAAGCCAGACCTGCCCCGTCCACTCCCTTGTCCAAGCCACGTTGGAGATGCTGCCAGTCCCCTCCATACAGGCTTCTTGGCTGTGTCCCCTGTTCTGGGGCTGCTGTGCTCGCTTGGTGCCAGGGCTGGTCTGCTTGCACTCGCCCCCGTGGCTGCATGAGCCTGGCAGACTCTGCAGGGAGCCGCAGCCCAGCCGTGGGGGCTGGGAGCACTGGCTGCGTGGGGCAGGGCGGAGGGCCTCTGACCTGTCTTTGCCTTGCAGAAGTGGTTCACTACTACCTGTACTGCAGCCAGAGCCTCAGCAACCCCTTCCAGCAGGTACAGCCTCCCCCCATGCTGGCATCCCACAGGCTGGGCTGGAGAGAGCCCCCCCCGGGCCCTGGGAGAAGGGCAAGAGTGCATTGCCTCTGGGCGGAGGGGGTGACACAGGCTGGGGACTGGGACTAGGGGGTCTTCCCTGCCTGGAGAGGCAGAGAGTGGGAACAGAGCTGTCTGGGCTTCACTTGCAGGCTCTGACCATCTACCAGCGCTCGCTCACCACCATGCAGATCCAGGTGCAGGGGCTGCTACAGTTCGCTGTGCCCATTTTCCCCACTGCCAAGGTAAGACGAGGCACAGGGTCGCACATACAGCTGGAAACTCAGCTGTGCCGGGGCCACCTGGGGCTCGGGGGGTGAGGATGCGGGTTGAATCCTGCACCCGTGGCTGGAACAGCTGCAGAGCCCTGTATTGCCGCCAGCTGTGAGCGGTTCCCGCCGAGCCTCTGCCCTGACCCCCGCTCTCTGCTGCAGAAAGAGCTGTTGGGAATCCAGCAGCTGCTGAACTCCTCCGAGACCAGCCTGCACCAGCTGACAGCCATGCTGGACTGCCGGGGCTTGCACAAGGTGAGCTGCCCGTGTGCCTTGCTGGGCGGGGGGTGATTGCCTCCAGCTGCTGCATGAGCTGGCGCGGTCTCTCCCGGCTGCAGGACTACCTGGATGCACTGATGGGCATCTGCTATGATGGGATTGAGGGCTTGCTCTACCTGGCCCTTTTCTCCCTCCTGGCCGCCGTGTCCTTCTCTACCATCATCTGTGCCACGCCACGAGCATGGAAGCACTTCACTAGCAGGTGAGTCCCGTGGCCGGGCTGGCCAGGTCCGGCCTAGGAGGATGGGTGCTTGCAGACATGGCACAGGAAGTGCTCTGCCCTGCCATGTAACTGCTGTTAACCTCCAAGTCACCACAGAGCAGCCAGTGGTGCCAGGCACCTGGAAACATCAGGGAAAGTAGATCCCCATCCTCCCGATATCTAGCCGAGCCCCCCATGCCTGGCGAGATGGGGTGAGGGCCAGTTTCCACAGCCCTGCACCAGCCGTGGCCCTGGGGCTCCTACCCCACTGTCTGGGTGTATGTCTGGATCTTACAGCCCTTTCCCCTGTTCCCTTGCAGGGACCGGGACTATGATGACATCGATGAGGAGGACCCCTTCAACCCACAGGCCCGCCGCATCGCCACCCACCACCCCGCCCACGGGCAGCTCCGCAGCTTCTGCAGCTATAGCAGCAGCCTGGGCAGCCAAACCAGCCTGCACCCGCCCGCCCAGACCATCTCCAACGCCCCCGTCTCTGAGTACATGTAAGGCTGTGCCCTGCTGCCAGAATCCACACCTGGCCCCAGCTCAGGATCGATGCCTAGTGGCACCTGCAGCGTCTGAACCCAGCTTGGTCTCCAAGGGCCCTGATCCTGGAGGGGAGGCGGGCTGGACTCACTGCTGCTGGCCTCATGTACCCCTTTCCCATCTCCCCGCAGGAACCAGGCAGCCCTCTTCGGCGGGAACCCGCGCTACGAGAACGTCCCGCTGATCGGCAGGGGCTCTCCTCCCCCGACGGTACGGTGGGCCTCCGAGGCCAAGTCCTTCTTGTGATGGGACCTTGGGAAGCGTCTGCTCTGTCGGAGGCCAGAGCTGCTGCAAGTGGCTCAGGAGCAGCTCCTGTCCCCGCCTTGCCTGTCCTGGGACACTGGTGGGACGCAGCCCCTCCAGGCCTCCCAGCCCATCTGCAACTGGGTCTGGGTCACAGGCTCCAGGCATGAGAGAGGAGGCTCAGGACAGAGTAGGTCCCTTAGCCCCAGCTCCCACCTTCAGCAAGTCATGCCGAGACGCCGGTGGCTGCATTCAACCGGGTCAAGAGGTGCCACCATTGAAAAGGCCTAGCCTGTGCCTGTCAAGCGAGTTAATACGCTTTCTGGCTAACCAGGTGCTTCTGGGAAGGGGCCAGGGCATCCAAACCTCTGGGGCACAGTGGCCACGTGGCCTCACTTACTTTGGGGGTTTGTGGCTCTTTTGAGACACTCGCTTTGACCGTGTTTCATTCTCACCAACGCCCCCCCGCATGCCTGCATGACGTCCTCTGCACGCCTGCTGCCTGCTAACGTTTGCTTTGTTTCTTGCATCGATGAATGCGGAGCTAAGTTGCCTGTTGAGTGTAAGTCCTCTGGGGGGAAGAGGTGGTTTGTTTTCCTCTTTTCCTGTTTGTTTGGAGTCTGGTCCCCCAACACCCGTCCTCCCCGCTGTCCCTGGCTGTCTGCGCGTGAGTCCTTTTGCTTTACTTGGAGCAAAACCACGAAGCCCTCAAAGGAAAGGGCCCTGGAGCAGGGATGCTGTGTCTCTGCCCCAGCCCTGGGGTCTGACTCCCATCTGGGGTGGGGGAAAGAGACGCCAGACCCCTCGGTGCATCAGGTGTCTAGAGGTGCAGCTAGGGCAGGACTGACTCTGACAAGAGGAAGAGGCTGATGGAGCCCTTTGGCTCCCAAAGGATTTGAAGGTCCCGTCTCTGGGCAGCTGAACGTGCTGCAGAGCGAAAGGTTTAAAAGCTGATTTTTCCTTTGTTTCCCTGCCGAGGCTGGAGCTTGGGAGGATCCGATGCCCTGGGAGGCAGCTGCTATAATTGCTTGGAGACCGTTGGGGGGCTTGAGCCTTGGGTGAGGGGGTTGTCGTGGCTTAATGAAGGGAAGGAGAAGCTGCGTTCCCTAATGGGAAGGATTTGCAGCGTGCACGTCTCTCACCGCGGGCGGAATAGACCTGCGAGGTGAGGCGCGTTGACAGCAGAGGCCACAGGTGCGCACATAGGATCCAGTTCCTCTCCGGCGTGGGGTTTGGCTGGGAGGGGAGTAACTTCCAAGGGGCTCAGCACTGAGACGTGCCCACGGAGTGACTAGGCTGGGGCATCTCCACCCTCGAGCACGTGCCTAACGAGCGTGTCTCTCCTTCCCTACAGTACTCCCCCAGCATGCGTGCCACGTACCTCTCCGTCAACGACGACCATGCCCGGCGTTACACCCCCGAGTTCCCGGCGTAGCGCCCGGCCCCCCAGCGGTGCTGCGGGAGGAGAAGCGCGGGTGGCGTTCCGGTCACGGTGGCTGAGGACACGGTGACGCCTCTCCATGGCCAAGAGCAGGGACGGAGGCGCCCGGGACGGTCCCGGCAGATGGCTCCTGGGAAGATCGCTCCTGCCTCCGCTCAGTCTTCCTCTCTGAAGCGCACACGGGATCCCCCGCAGCCTCCATCTCCAGCCCAGACTTCCCTCCTGCCCTGGGCCTGATGCACACCCCCTCCCCAGAGTGAGGTGAGGCGGCAGCCGGCACGTGGATGCAGCCCCCTGCCCTCCCTGCGCTGTCGTGGGCATTGCTGCAAGCTGGAGGATGGATGCAGCTTTGCCCTCGGTTCCTCCGTGCTTCCTCCTGGTGCTGGACGGGGGCTCTCTCCGGTCCATGGGGCCTTCGGCAGTCTTCCTCCCTGCTGCCAGCGCAGCACGAATGACCAGACCGGCACACTGTCCACGTCACAGCCACTGTAGCAACACAGTACCAACCACTAGTGACCCTGACTCCATCTGGGAGCCCCCGCAGCTGGACTCTCATGATCCTGTGTCCATAGGTCCCATGCATACGACCACCCCTTCCTTGCAGTCCTTTTGCCAATGGAATAAGCCGCGAAATCACCAGCCCCAGCTGGGATGGTCTCAGGTATTACAGAGGCTGCAGACTACATTTATTTCATCCTTTCTTTTTCGCTTGCATTGATTCCCCTCTTCCCTCGGTGGTTTTAACTCCTATCCAAAGAACAGGCACAAATGGCACATGTCTTTGGCCTTTTTAGAAGGTTTTTAGTTGCGCATGTTTTACATGAGGCTGTTAGCTGGTGGGTAACTCTTGGGATTGTTGGGGGGGGGTTTTAGCACTTATTTTTGTTGCAAAGAGCTGCCTGGAGCATTAGATCTAGGGAAAAGCTGCATTCAACCCCCGAGAGGGGTTTGGGTGGGGGAGACGGCATGCAGCCAGGCACTTTTCTCCTGCCAGCAATAGCAGGGGATGGCAGCTACTTGGATATCACTGTGACCTGGCTCTCAGCTACGGTGGAAAGGAGGGGGAGATGAGCAAGCTGGCGGTGCTTTGGAGACGGGCTACTTCTCCAAGACCTGGCTAGGTGCACAGTGCTACCCATGGAGGGCTACAGGAGACGGCAGCCCCGGTGCAGGGGAGCTGTGAACAGGAGCAGGCTTGCAGCGGAGCTGCAGCTAGCAAAGATTTCAAGGCCTCGGGTGTCTCCTCTTCCAAGAGAAAGCCTCGGTTCCTCCTTTGCTGGCTTCTGCTTCTTGGCAGGGTGGGGGAGGCTCCTCACCACCCTGGCACTGGGGTGGATCGGGACCCAAAGAAGTGATTTTCCCACGGCCCAGGCTGAGCTTGGCTCTCCTCGTAGCTCCCTTCACAGCACAATGGGAGCTGGGTTGAACCCCGGTCTGCTCCCAAAATCTCCTGCAGCCATCTCCTGGGGCTGAGCGGGGGGCAAGGGCTCCCAGTACCCAAGCACAAGAAACCAGAGACTGCGCGGAGCCAGACCTGGCTTCAGTCCGCATGGCAGGGCTGATGCTAGGAGAACCCTGCCCCCTCCCCCCGCTCTTCAGACCCCCGCATTGGGCTAACAGTGCTAAAACCAGGCAGGCTCCTTCCCCGGGCACCACGGGGAGGTTTTATTACTTGACAGCCGGGACTTACCGTGGCTTTTAAAGCACTTGTACATATCTTGTACCATAGCATCATTTGTACGTCCCTGTTCGATGCCACTAGAGTTAGGAGCCGGGCAGGACGATTCCCCCTGGGTTGGGTTTTTTTGGGGTTTGTTTGTTTTTTTTGCTTTTTAATGTTCCAGTGTAACGATGCTGATAGCAGAGGTTTTTTTAACGCATGTGGACTAACCTCATCTGGAGCCCCGTCTGATTTGTATGTACCCTCTGGGACGACGACAATAAACACTTGTATTAAATCTCCACCTCCTGTTGCTCTTGTGTGGTTTTTACCCCCGGCTGAAGCCGTGGCTTGGTGGAAGGGGCCTGAGCTGCACGTTTAGGGCCTGTCGGAGCATGACCATGCCAACCCTGCTCTTGGGATTTGATCCCTCTTAAGGCTCCAAAGGTCACTTGCTACCACATCCCCTTCGTGACTGTGTGGCCCAGATTTTGAGAACTGCTCACAAATAAGGAGGGGGATTATTTCAATTTCCCCGCAGCACCTGGGCTCTGCGAGGCAGCTATGGTTCAACAGGCCTGGCCTCAGAGCCGGCTTCCTGCCAGCATGGCGTGCACCTGAAAATTGGCTTTTGCAAACTGTCCTGCTAGCAGAGGTTTTCCAAAACATCTGCAGGGAGCACAAAAAGCAGAGTGTGAACGGGTCTTGGAGACCTTTCCACACTACTTTTTCCAGCTTTCCTCTCATTAGGTGCCTCTGGGAACGAGGATCCTTGCAGGCAGCAGGATGCGGCACGCCTGTTCGGTTTACAGAGCAGTGCCACCCCCTGGCACAAGCAGTCCATGCAGTGGATGGTCTGTGCAAACGGTCCGTGCAATGGGTGCACAAGGTATTTTCACGTGCTTGAGACGGGGAAACACCCCGGCCAGCCCCTTACCACTCAGCCCCAGTTCAGATCCTGTTCAGAGTCTGCCTGCATGCTGCCATGCTAATCGCTTTCTTATTATTTTTAATTGGCTTGCCCAATAAAGCAAGGGATGCTGGTGCTAGGGTTTTTAAGGTCACAATTGCCTTCAGTGCCTGCACTTACTAGCAAAGCTGTTTGGATTTGTGAATGGCCAAGGCGCTGGCTTTTTTTATTGTGGCTGGAAGATGTGGGGCAAGCGGCGGAGCGCCCAGGATGCAGCTGGCAGCATGTTGCGGGGTGTCGAGGCCTGCTGTGTCCCTGCTCCGCGGTGCACGTGCTTGAAGTGTGCATGGTGGGAGGAAAGGGTCTCGGGGAGAAAACACCTGTGGCTGCCTTGGAAAGGAAGAGAGCACCAGCTCCTTGGGCAGGGACAGGGGAGGTTGGCCATGTGGCCTTAGCCCCCAGACTGGTGGGCAGGAGCTGGCACTAGATGCCCTGGAAGACGGCATGAGGACCCCCAATGCCCGCATCCAAAGGAAACTGCCCACGTCTTCACCGAGGACCTGAAGCAGGAATCGCCTCCTTGGCCAGAGCTCGAAAGCCTGTAGGGACGATTGGGGCTGGACGCGGGTCCGATCCTTCTTGGAGCACTGCTGCTTTGCAGCTCTGAGACCTGCTGGCACCGAAGGTCCATCTCGTGCTGGCCCCATCGGTCCATCTCACCCAGGTCCTATAGGTCTGTCTTCACGCTGGCCTTGTAGGTCCGTCTTGCCCAGGACCTGCCTTGCGCTGGAGCAGGAGGGGGAACAGAACCAGCATTTTCCACCCCTGCTCCTCTCTCCCTGCAGCTTCCAGCCATGCGTCCCCCCGCCAGTGGGTTTCCCATCTCCAGCAGGGGCCAAGAGGAGGTCCCATCCGGTACCTACCAGCCTGGACGCACCCTGCACAGGTGCCCTTGTGCGAACGGGCTGCATCCAGCAGCATCCACGTGCGAGGGGCAGGAGTTTTTTCTATTGCATAAAATGCAACGGGTTGGGGGCATTGCTCTGTCAAGGAAGTTACAGCTAGACGGAGCCCTGCTCGCGGCTGCAAAGGCTCCAGGGGCGGGTGACCCCTCCATCCCTGTCTGCCCTGGCTGGAGTTAGGGGTTTGCAGCTGGAGCTGCCCCAGGGTCCTGGGAGAGGCTGGTGCTGTGTATCCTGGGTCCCCCCGCGCCGGCCTGCTTGTGCATTCGCTCCACGCCTCAGCGGTGTCTGGAAATAGGTCGAAGGGAGATAATGGCTGTTTTGATAGTGAATGGGGCTACTTAGCCCTGCTGGCAGCGCCGGCAGCCGGGTCACTCCGCGCTGCAATAAATCATTAATATCCGCCTGCAACCGAGCCGTGTTTTCCATCTGGTTTTTTTTCCTTTTAACAGCGTGCCCTGTGTTTGCAAGGAAGAGCCGGTGGGATGAGACGGGCTCCCCGGGGAGGGCGCCTGAGCTGCTCCAGGCAGGACAGGACAGGACCCCCCAGACCTGAC